AAGGGACCGTACCAGACTCAGTACCTGGAGGAGAAGCTGTGGTCAGGGTGTACAGGCTCGACCCTGGCCGACGTGTAAACGTAGCCAGGTGACGTCCCGTGCTAGCCTCCGTGCAGTGGGTCACCCGCTGACGAGCAGGAGTGAACTGGTGGACACCCGCATCCTGTAGGTCAGCACCACTCACCAGGTTCGTCGAGAACGAGGGGAGGTAGAGACCAGACAGGGTGCCAGAGGGGGCCGCCGGACACGGAAGTACCGTGGAGAAGCGAGACAGGACAGGCCCCCCAGAGGGGTCAGCCAGGGACACCGCAACCGGCCGACTCAGCGGCGTGAGAGTAGTGCGGTCCCGAAAGAAGGAGCGAGACGCTCCAGAGTCAAGTGTGAAGGTGTGAGAGGCCGAAGCCGACGCAGTACCTGAGAGGGCAGACTCACCAGTACCTGAGAGCTCAGACGCACTGGCACCTAGAGCAGCAGCCTCACTAGTACCTGACGCAGCAGTACCAATGCCCGGGTCGGGCGGGAAACACCGGTAACAGTCATCCTCATCACTACCAGTCACAACATACATAGCAGAAAGAATAGCATCAAAGTCAAGATCATAAATGGCTACACCAGCCCTAGACAGCTCCCCCCAGCGGGGGATCTCAGCGGCCTCCGGAAACTGCTGACGCCAGGCGTCGGTCAGGCGGCCAAAGCAGCGGCGGGCCGTGTGGGTGCCTCCACACCTCTCCCCCGCACGGTCGCCGGTGCGAAGAACGTAGGGGCAGGGACCAAACGCACCACCACGCTGACGCTGCAAGTACCACTCACGGAGCTGCTGAGGGGCGGGGACGGTGCGAGAGCGTAGCTGCTGCTGCTGCTGCTGCTGCTGCTGCTGCTGCTGCTGCTGCTGGCGCTGACCACCCCCGGAGCTGCTGCGCTGGGACGAGACACTCCGACCCCCGCCGCCACCGCCACTCCCGCCTCCACCACCGCCCCCGTCTCCACCGCCACCGCCCCCACTGGTACCCTCGCCCCCGCCTCCTCCGCTACCGCCCTAGCCGCCACCTCCGCCTCCACCGCCTCCACCAGTACCTCCACTCCTGCCACCACCTCCACCGCCACCCCCACTCCCCCCGCCACCCCCACCTCCTCCGCCACTGCCCCCTCTAGCTCCACCCGCTCCCTTGCCCCCCTTGCCCTTGCCAGAGCGGCGTCTACCGCTGGGGGCAGACGCCGCACCGACCGACTCAAAACCAGCGAGGTCGGCCGCAGCGGCAGAGGCGACAGAGGGCAGCAGGGGGGAAGGAGAACACCCCTCAAAGATGGGGGTGCGAGGGTCACCCCGAGAGGCCCCTACAGCGACTATGCTCTTCTCAGCCGCTAGCAGGTACTCCTCAAGGAGGTCGACAGTGAGGGTGGTGGGACAGACAGAGAGAAACTGGTCCCTAACGACACGGAGGGACTCAGGGAGACGGGTGACAAGAAAGTAGAGAGTGATGTACATGGGAGGAGGGTTGGCGGCGCGGAACTCAGCAGGAAGGGCAGCGCGGTAGCGAGCGTCACTAGCGCGGAGGTGGGTAATGAGGTCAGCGACAGTGGGAAAGGCAGCGAGGTCAGGGAAGAGAAAAGGTAGCATGAGGCGGCTCAGCGTAGCGGAGGAAGGGGAGGAGTAGCGTGCAACTACAGCGTCGTACAAGGCCTGAGCGGTCTTGCACTGACTAAAGTGGGCACGCTCGGAGGAAGGGAGGTGGCGACGCACAGCAAGACGTGCAGCAGCATCGCGGGTCGCCCACTTGGAGCGAACGGCGGAATCAGCATCAGGAGGAGGGGCAGGGACAGCGCCAGAGACAAAGTCAAAGAGAGAGACCTCATCGACCGCATCACACAGTTAGTACAGCTGCAGGTCCTCAATCCAGACTGCAAAGTCAATGGCTCTACCCTCAGCGTCAAAAGCTAGGACATTGGGGGTGGCCATGACAGCAGCTGACAGTCTCACCGGGCAGGAAGAGTCGGGTAGGTCAGCGGCGCAGGTGCACAGCCCAGGAGCAGCAGTAGCCCGACAGGAGCAGGAGAGCAGCTCCTCTGGCGGCTGGGCAGCTCGGGCGGCTCGGGCGGCTCGGGCGGCTCGGGCGGCGCGGGCGGCTCGGGCGGCTAGGGCGGCTCGGGCGGCTCGGGCGGCTCGGGCGGCTCAGGCGGCTCGGGCGGCGGCACGGGCGGCTGGGGCAGCTCGGTGGCGGCTCACGGGCGGCTGGGACAGCGCGCGGGGAGCTCACGGGCGGCAGGGCGGGCGGCCAGGGCGGCTCACGGGCGGCGGCGGCGGCGTCGGCGGCTCACGGGCGACGGCGGCTCACGGGCGGCGGCGGCGGCGTCGGCGGCTCAAGGGCGGCGGCGGCGGCGTCGGCGGCTCACGGGCGACGGCGGCTCACGGGCGGCGGCGGCGGCGTCGGCGGCTCAAGGGCGGCGGCGGCGTCGGCGGCTCACGGGCGGCGGCGGCGGCGTCGGCGGCTCACGGGCGACGGCGGCTCACGGGCGGCGGCGGCGGCGTCGGCGGCTCAAGGGCGGCGGCGGCGGCGTCGGCGGCTCACGGGCGACGGCAGCGGCGTCGGCGGCTCACGGGTGGCGGCGGCGGCGCGGCTGCTCACGGGCGGCGTCGGCAGCTCACGGGCGGGCTGAAGGCCCACGGGTGGGCGGTTCGCGGGCAGCGCCGGCTCACGGGCGGGCGGCGTGACGGGCGGGCGGCGGGACGGGCGGCGGCGTCACGGGGGGGGGGGGGGGCGACGGGACGGGCGGCGGCGTCACTGGCGGCGGCGTCACGGGCGGCGGTTCACGGGCGGCTGCGTCACGGGCGGCGCTCACGGGCGGCGCTAAAGGGTGGCGACGGGCGGCGGCTCACGGGCGGCGCTACGGGCGGCGGCTCACGGGGGGCGCTACGGGCGGCCGCACGGGCGGCGCGAACGGGCGGCCGCACGGGCGGCGCTACGGGCTGCGCAAAGGGCGGCGCGAAGGGGCAGCCGCACGGGCGGCGCTAACGGGCGGCGCTAACGGGCGGCGCGAACGGGCGGCTCGAAAGGGCGGGCGCTAGGGCGGGCGCTAGGGCGGGCACTAGGGCGGGCGCCAGGGCAGAAAAAAGTTCTAGGTGGTGGGCCCGAAGCACAGTTCCCACAGGGGAACCTGCTCTGATTCCATGTGAAGAAGAGAACGAGAGAATGTGTGAACTATGAACGAAGTGAGTACAAATAGGAAACCCTAACTGGGTTGTACCCCCTATGGGATACCCCACTATAGCCTACACAAATAAGTAAGCTATAATGTTCTGACAATTCCCTGCCAGCTCACCCTGACAAAATTACAGCACATGCTGACTAGACCGCAAAAAGTGAGTTCAGAGTGTGGGAAATCGAAAGTGTTGTTCGTTTCCCTGATTATGCGAAATTCGTTTCTGAAATTTGAAAGGTTTTCAAATGAAAAACAAACATGCGCTTATGATATATCATCTTTTTCTAGGGGGTGCGCTTATAATCGAGGACCGGATATAAGCGCCCTCATCCTTTTATAAGCGCCGGCGCTTATCCGAGGCCTGCGCTTCTATCCGGGGGCTTACGGTACCTCTCACCTCCAAATTCCGAGTCATGCATTCGAATTTTAGTGCTTTATGATACATGTTTCTATAGGTGATCTGGCGAATAAGCTTTTGCAGAATACGGTATTATGCAGAAGCTTTTGATATTATGCATTGTCACTCAGCCAAAATATTATAAAGCCTTTCTTTTCAAGCTCGACAAAGAGGTACCAAAACTGTGTCGTGCTTCATGGCTCGGGCAGGCATTAGGGCTGCACCGATGCAGGCCTCACTCCCTGGTTGCTACAGCTCCAGCTACAACTGGCATTGGCCTGGTGAGTGCCTCAGCTAGCAGAATCTTGCCCTTAACGCGCGTAGGCTCAATCCAAGTCTGCCATTCACCACTTAGCTGAATGAACCAGTAGTCATTCCCATTGTGCAGATGTCTTCTGCAAGCCTCAGAGAAATGCTGCCCTCAGCAAGCCTCAGGTCTTGGGAGCTGCAGCAACAAGTGTCTTGATCGTCTTGACCAGCAGCCCCATGCTCTCTCCTAGCTTGGGCTCGGGGTTTACTTCCACCAGATCCTCCTCCTCCTGCTCCACCACCGGCTGAATGTGTTTCTTTATGGCGCTTACTAGCTGTGGTACTCACTCCGCTGGCACTTCGTTTTTGCTCCCAGGCAGTCACGAAGTCTCTGAGAGGTACAGGCACGCAACACAAGGCGCGGAGATGGTACCTCAAAGAGACAAACTTGGCTAGAAGCTGCAAAGGAGTGACACGGCATCTGAGACGGATCAGATTCAAAAGGGAGGGGTCGCTGTTTGCTCACCTGAATGGAAATATCTCGGGCTTCCATCAGCTCCGCTGCTACCTCCCCTTGTGCTCTTAAGCGTTCCTCAGCTGCTGACGCAAATTGTTACGCTGCTCCGTCCTCTGCCAAGACCGTCCATGCACAGCAGCAGATAGTTGTTCTATATCAAGCTTGGTACTTCGGAGGGGAAAATGGTGATGGACTGAAAATTGGCTTTCAGAAAGGGGGGCGGGGTGGCAGGGGAGGGTGGGGAGCATGATTGAACAGGGGTGTGAGTTGACACACACGGCAATTGCAGTGTCCCAAAGATGCTTGCACGTGCTCACACGCATGCACAGGCACACGTACGCACGCAGGCACACTCCAACTCCCACCACACCCACACCCACGGCCACGCCCTCGCCCACACATACTCAGTCACACCACAGTCTCACCACACTCACGCACGCACGCACACACCCACAGAGACACACGCACCCCCCCCCTCCCCCCTCCCCGCCCCCCTCCCTCCTCCCTCCCCGCCTCTCCACCCCCCCCCCCCCCTCCGCACACACACACACATGCATGCTCTCACACATACGCGCACCGATCAACATCCCATCCCATCATCCCTCGGTCCTACCCCATCCAGGTCCTTCATCACATCCTTCAAACTACTCTCCACGCTGCCGTCCACCTCTCCCCCCTTCCCCCATCCCACACACACATACCCACACATATCAACATCACGTCTACATCTTCCCCCGGCTCTACCTCATCCAGGTCGTTCATCACATCATCCAAACTTCCCTCCACGTTCCCATCCACCTCCCCCAAATTCTCCCCTCCCTCCGGCCCCCCCCATTCCACACACACATACCCGCAAATATCAGCATATTGTCTACCTCTTCCCCCAGCCCTACGTCATCCAGGTCCTTCATAACATCCTCCAACCTACTCTCCACATTCCCATCCACCTCCAACACCTCCAACTCCTCCTCCTCCTCCACCCCCTCCCCCTCCCCCCTCCCCTCCCCCCTCCTTCCCCTCCCCCTCCCTCTCCTGCATCACACGCTGGTTCAGTTTCTGCTCCAGCTGCTCTACTTGCTTCCTCAGACATGTCACAGTTTCCTCTGCAATCTTCAGCTTTGCCTCTAATACCATGGCCTCCGTAGCTCTCTCTTGTAGCCTCTCCGCCTTCTTCTCCCACCCCTTCACCACAGCCTTCAGAATTTTGATCTCCGTATTCTGCCGGACAGAGGGGAGGGCGGGAGTGGGTAGGAGTAGGTGCGGTTGGTAGAATTCTGGTTTGGTTGTTTGTTTTGCTTGTGTTTGCATCAACCTTTGTAACACCCCCCTGATTAATGCAAGGACCATTCAAGGAAAGAGCAATTCTGTCCATCCGCTGTGCACTCCGGTCAAGCCATCATACATGCTCCCAACTTCCGCAATCTCCTATTGCTCACCACCGTCTCCCTATTTCCTACTTTGTCAGAAACAATGAAGAAGCAAACGGTTCCCACACCGCTACTCCATCCATCCCCTTTGAGACGTCTCAGATTCACTGTCCCCCTTCGTCCAACCACTCACCATCATCTGCCTGCTTCCTGCTCTGCTGATATCTGATAGCTAACTCCTCAAAGTCGTCCATGCCATTGCTGCTTGCTGCCATGGCTGTCTCAAGCTGCAGTCACAACACAGACAGAGCCTGCGTGAGAGTGAATGAGCGAGAGTGAGAGGAGGAGGAGGAGGAGGAGAAAGAGGAGGAGGGTCCTAACGCAGGAGATTTTTGTACTGATGTGCATTTACAGCTCTGCAGCTTTAGACTCGCCGGCAGAGAGCTTCAGTGGACACTACAGGATTGTATCGACCATGTCTGAAGGTACAACCATAAGAATATGAGTAATTTGAATGCATGAATCATATCCAAAACGACCTACCTACGGTGAAGAGGATCGGTTAGACGGGAAGGGGACGTTGGAACGACCTTGCTAGACGAAAGCGTTTAGGTGACGCACGCGAAGAACTGAAGGAAGCTGTGACAGATCTGGTCAGAAAGGTCTTGGTGTCAATTTTCGCGGTTTTGCAAAAAAAGGTAACCGAAGCACGACGAACTCGTGACGTCATCTAAGTTGACTGAACGGACTCGACGAAAATGGGAGCAATCAGGGAACGGAAATCTCGAGACGCTAGGCATAGGAAGCGGGACAGCCAATCTGAAAAAGAGCGAATCAAAGTCTCGCCCTGTAAGCGAAATGTCGGCACCCGGCGTTCGCTACAGAGCTCTTCGCCTGGTACCCGCTGCAGGGAGTTTCGGCTTTCGCATGGCCACCCTCTAATCCAGAATCGAGGGCCCAATTGCCGCCAGCCCTTGGTCCATTGCATGGCACAAAGCAGTGCACGGATGACGGAAGGTGCGCCGCGCCGCGAGGCAACTTCCCCCAAAAGCCGCGCAACACATGACAGGCAGGTGGCGCGCAGATCTACAGCCACAGCTGGTCCCTGACTGATAAGCATCGGTGTTATTCTAAACCTTTAAGGGAGTTTTTCCTGTCGACGCAGATTATTGAAACGCACACATCCAAGCTGTGTAAATTAGTTTGGCAAATGAATTCGCCTGTCTGAACTCACAGTGATCTGGTTTGAGCTTGTTGTGTCGTCCAGCAAGCTGTTCACGGAAAGGGTGCTTATTACGAGTGAAATTGAGTGAGCGAGCTAGAATTGCACTATCGAAGCAAGAGAAGGCATGAGCGAAGAATATATAGCAAAACTACAGTGGAAACGGTAATGGACTGTGGTTGTCGCGCGACGGGCCTGGGACTGAGGTTTGGGGGAAATGTCGAAGCGGAGGCCCGGAGCGCGGGTTACCCGCCGAGCCGTGAGGTCGGGGTGCGACGTGCGAAGGTGGCGGGAGGATTGTCGATGTGAGGGTTGCGAGTGGTAACGGTGCTGACTGTGGTGCTACAGTGGTGTACGCGCTGAGCGGGGACGCGAAGTAATGAAAAGGAATTTGCCTTACACTACCCCCCCCTCTAAGAAGGCCCTCCTTACGAAAGCGCGTGTACATCCCTGAAATTTTGGCTGCGCAGATACTAGGTGAGGACGGGGTGGTTTTCGATTCTGTCCAGGGGAACCCAGTTGTCTTCGGTGGGTGTACGGTCTTTCCATCGGATCAAGAACTCGATCCTTTGTGCTCCTCGAGGGTCACGAACTGTGTGGCTCAGAATTTTCTCGGGTGTGATGATTGGTTCAGTCGGTGGTCGTGTGTTGCTGGCTGGGCGATTACGTGGCAGTTGGCTTGTGGACGGGATATAAGGGTGAAGCAGGCTGACGTGGAATGAGGGGCTGACGTACCAGTCAGCGGGGAGGAGGAGGTGGGCGGTGACGGGCGTAATCACGTGGCTTATGCGGAATGGCCCGCAATATCGGGGGCGGAGTTTTGGGGTGATGGGCAGGCGGAGGTTCTGAGTGTCGAGTAAAACTAGGTCGTCAGGTTAGTAAGTGACAGGTCGGCGGTGGCGGTCGGCGTTGTGTTTAGCGATGATGTTGGATTTTTTATTGCGTCTGCTGCCCGGGTCCGTGCTGCTTGTAATATTTCGGCGAATTGTTGTGCTCGTGGCACCGGGTTGTCGGGATTCGGGGTCATGGGTACTGTCGGGTATTGTCCGTAGTTCAGGTAAAAAGGTGACTGTTGGGTCGTGGCGGATGGTGAGTTGTTGTATGCGAATTCAATTAGTGGCAGCTGTTGTTCCCAGGTGGTTGGGTCGTCGCACGTGGCTCGGATGAGTTGCTCCATAGTCTGATTTGTCCGTTCTCTCTGTCCGTCGGTTTCGGGGTGGTACGAAGAACTGAACTGTAGTCGCGTGCCGAACTGCTGCCACAGGTTCCGCCAGAAGTTGCTGGTGAATTTCGTGTCGCGGTTGCTGATGATTGCTGATGGTATCCCGTGCAGTCGAACGATAGTGGAGATGAAGAGTCGAGCTGTTTCTTCGGCTGTGATCGATTTTTTGCAGGCTGCGAAATGTGCCATTTTCGTCAGTCGATCGACGATGACCATGATCGCGTCATTCCCACTCGCCCCGGCCGGTAACACCGTGACGAAGTCCATCGTCACCTGTGTGAAAAAAAAAGAGGAATGAAGAACAGAGGGGTTGCACTAGCAGCAGTTGGCATACATTTAGGAAACCCTAATTGGGTTGTACTTGCTATAGAGTACCCCACTGCAGGCTAGACAATTATAACATTCTGACACACCCCTATAGCCAAAGTGGGGTGTAATCAGCACAATGAGCAAGCAGGCATAGAGCAGGAGTTCACAATAGCGAGCAAAGCTAGAGTTAATCACAGCGGGCAAGTGAGGAGGAGGAGGAACTGTGGAGGGAGAGAAGATGGGAGGCAACGGCTGAAGCTGCAGAGGCACGGGCACAGGAGCGGCTGACTCAGTGGCTACCAAAGCAAGGGCGACGGACTACTGAAGTAACTGGCTCCTCGGCTATAGACGAGCGGTAGGAGCAACGGACCCACTGGCGACTGGTGCAACAGGCTCACTGGCTACCGAAGGAAGGGCGACGGACTACAGGTGCTGCAGGCGACACGACAACTACCTTCACACAACCTCCTCCAGCTGCCCCACCCCTCTCGACACACACCCCCTGCTCAAACCCTAGTTCCACTCCCACAACACCCCCCTTTCACACACCGCCTGCTGCACCCTAGGTTCACTCAGACCCCACCCCCTAGCACCACTCCGTCGACTCCCACACACCCACCCCCCTCAGCGGCAGCTGCAGCAGTGGGAGACAGAGGAGGAGGAGGAGGAGCAGGGGAGACCACACACCCGCCACCCCCTACTCGCCACCCCCAAACCCTAACACAGGGCAGGGCGGGATGGCGGGTAGGGAGGTTACGGGGGGGGGAAGGGGGGGGGGGCGACGTGCGGCCTCCCAGGGCGCCAAAGCAGGCGGCAGAAGGGGCGACGCTCGCCCCCCCCCCCCCCCCCCCCCCCCCCCCCCCCCCCCAAGGTCCCCTTGACAGGCGACGGAGCATGGCCGGGGCGGGGTCGGAGCAGGGTCGAGGCAGGGCCAAAAGGGGCGGCGACGGGGCCGCAAGTGGCGGCGACGGGGCCGCTGGAGGCAGCGACGGGGCCGATAGGGGCGGCGACGGGGCCGCTAGGGGCGGCGACGGGGCCGCTGGTGGCGGCGACGGGGCCGCTGGAGGCGGCGACGGGGCCGATAGAGGCGGCGACAGGGTCGCTAGGGGCGGCGACCGGGCCGCTGGTGGCAGCGACGGGGCCGCTGGAGGCGGCGACGGGGCCGATAGAGGTGGCGACGAGGTCGCTAAGGGCGGCGACGGGGCCGCTGGTGGCGGCGACGGGGCCGCGAAGGGGCTGCGAGGGGCTTGGAAGGGCGGCGACGGGCCGCTAGGGGCGGCGACGGGGCCGCGAAGGTGCCGCGAGGGGCCTGGAAGGGCGGCGACGGGCCGCTAGGGGCGGCGACGGGGCCGCGAAGGGGCCGCGAGGGGCCTGAAAGGTCGGCGACGGGGCCGCTAGGGGTGGCGACGGGGCCGCGAAGGGGCCTCGAGGGGCCGAGAAGGGCGGCGACGGGGCCACTAAGGGCGGCGCGAGTGGCCGTGAGAGGGGCCTCTAGGAGGGCAAGAAAAAAGGTCCGTCGCACGCCACGGGGCGTGCAACACACAGAGTAGCAGCGGAAGCAGTTAGGTGAGCCCACAGGCCAGGAGAGTAGATGCTCTGATAGCATGTGAAAAAAAATGAGGAATGAAGAAGAGAGGGGTTGCACTAGCAGCAGTTGGCATACATATAGGAAACCCTAATTGGGTTGTACTCGCTATAGAGTACCCCACTGCAGGCTAGACAATTATAACATTCTGACAACCTGCTGCCAAGCACGCTCTGGGGGTGGTATCGGCTGCAACTGTCCTGCCGGCCGCTTCCGCGATGATTTCATGAGCTGGCAAGTGGGACACGATGCCACGTGTCGTTGTACGTCGGTCAACATCTCGGGCCAGAAATAATACCGCTGTAGTTGCTGCCGTGTTTTCTCTACCCCGAAATGCCCTGAGGTAACTCCGTCGTGTGCCTCCTATATTAGTAATTCCCGTAGCAGTGTGTACCCTGGTACCCAGTTGCAGTCGGTCCCGGCTTCTACGTAATAGACTCCCTTTGCTGCTGCGAACTGCTGCGAATTACCTCCTGTGAATAATGGATCCGTTTGGTACCCGTGGGTGAATAGGCCTGTCAGTAGTGGGCTTGTCTGGGCGAGTAGTATTGCATGGATCTGGGCAGTGGGGCGGGTCAGTGCGTCGGCGATGTTCGAGGCTCCCTTTTTATAGGTGACCGTGTAGTGAAAATTGGACTCGAGAAAATCGAGCCAGCGAATCTGTCGTGGGTTGAGGTGTGCGGGGGTACTGTAGTGATTTATGGTCTGTCCATACTGTCACGTCTGCGCCGGTTAAGTAATAGCACCACACTTTGAACGCGTGCACGATCGCAAGCATTTTGCAGTCGTGTATCGGGTAATTTTTCTCGGGCGGATGCAGTTTTCGTGACTCGTATGCGATGGGTTGTAGACCGTTGC